GTGTTTAGTTTTTGATTTGTTTTGTGTTTAGTTTTTTTGTTTTTGATTTTTTTGTGTGTTTAGTTTTTGATTTTTTGTGTTTAGTTTTTTGTTTTTGATTTGTTTTGTGTTTAGCTTTTTGTTTTGTTTTGTCTTTATTGTTTTTGATTTTTTTGTTTAGTTATTTTTTTATTTGTTTTTTATTCAGTTTTTGTTTTATTTTGGATTTTTCACTGTCACAAACTTTCAGGATATAGGCGATCATGGATTTCTAGAGATTCCTAATGTTTATTTTCTATGAATTGCCATTACTTCATGGAGAAAGTGGAGCAATGTAAGGTAACTTAATTCAAAAGTCTTAACAGTATACACAGTTATATATACATATGCAGACATGGAAAGGAAATTAAAAAAGCTCCTACAGAAGGTAGCGAAGGAAAGCGAGAAGAAAGGACTAATTATAAACTACAAGAAGACAAAATGCATGATTATCAGCAAAAGATGAGCTCAAAATGCAAATTTCAAATCGGGGATGCTAAAATCAAACAACTATAGAAATTTAAATATCTGCGAAGTGTTCTAACAGAGGACGGAATATGCGACACTGAGACCTTAAGAGATATTGGAGTGGCCAAAGATGCATTCCAAAAGCTAAGCAGAGTATTAAGAGACAGGAAAATTCGTTAGAAACAAAGAAAAGGTGTACGGAACTAATAAGTGATATTTTTCTTCCTGTATGGCAGCAAATGCTGGGCAATCTCCTTGAAGCAACAGAAATGCGTTTCTACAGAAAGATGCTGAGGATACCGAACATGTGAACAACAAGAATTTTTGGGAGAGAATGGAAACAAAAAGGCGACTTATACTTAACATCAAAGACAGTTGAGGTTTCTGGGACACGTAATGAGGAAGAAAGGCTTGGAAAACCTGATACTCACGGGACATTTTGAGGGAAAGAGGGCAAGAGAAAAACAACGCGTAACATCCTTGATGAGCTTGATCAAATGAATGGCGGAACAGGGTTTGTGAGAACAAAAAGACAAAACTTAATAAGAGATAAAAGGTACAGGAAGATGTGGAGGGCCATAATCGCGTAGGTCATGAAGGGATACGGTTCATAAAATAATTTCTTATTCGACATGATTTATGATTTGGTCTTTCTTACTGTGCTCAATTTTGCTATATGGTTTCTCATTTCATGACTTTTTTTTTGTATTAAGACCTTCCTTACGTTAAGATGCGGTTTTGCGTAATAAAAAAAAGTGTAATAAAATGATTAGAAAAATTGAAAAATAAGGTCATGGCCGTAGTTAACATTTTCGTTACAACGTTTGGCTGGATATATACCTACCCCTTTTATCGAAACCAGTTTTTTACATCAGTTTTTGACATCATTATTATGAGAAAGTGAATTGTTTATGTTTTTCTTTAAAACAAAACAAAGTCTTTCAGTTGATTCTCGCTTCCTTAAAGAAAAAGAAATTATGCTTATTCTATACTGTTTGATCGATTGTTCATCTTTTCTGTTTCTTGTGTGTTTTTGTTTCTTTACTTGGAGAGAACCATATTGCATTTGCTTCTATAATAAGGCATATTCACCAGCCTCTCCATCAGTGCCATAAAAACTACTTCTTTGATTTGTCTAAGCTTCCATCGGTTTCCTGACTATGATTACAGTACCAGG